CAGTATTGGGGATCAAATCCAGGTCTCGTGAATGCTCAGCAGGTGGCTGAACTGTAGCACAGAAATCCCCCTTTCTTTATCCTAAAATCTATGTAATTTTCCAGATAAGGTGGAGAATCTATAAGAAGAGGACCCAGATCCAGAATGAACTGATGGTATACAGAAACCTAAAATTTCTTTTCCTTTTATATTCTTTAAGTTTATAGGCTAAAGAGCTGCACATTTATTTAATGCTTTTTATATTTCCTGAACATAACTTTCATTCTATTAAACAACCGTATGAGACAAGTACTATTCCTACTTTATAAAACCTGGTTTAGACATTAAGTAATTGACCAAAGGTCATTACATCAATAATTAGTGGAACCAGAGTTCAATCCCATATCTGTTTAATTCCAAAGTTCTGATTCTTTCTACTACTTGACATTTGCATTTTATTTTGAAGTTATTTAAAGAAAAAAATACATTTATAATAATACCTTAGACTTAATGGAATAGCTGACTACAAGAGTTAAAAATTGCCCTGCTGCTAGTTCATACTTTATAGGTTCATTTATTAGGTTTTGATTTACTGGAATGAACTGGAATTCCACTGCACTCACATGAAAATTTAGGTAGGTCTCCAATACAGAATAATCTCTTCTCAAATGATTTTCATACACATCTATTTATATGACTATGATTGCAAACAAACATTTAAAGAAAAAAAAACACTTCCCAGAAACAAGAAATGGGTTATTATCAATAATGCAGCAGGAAAAGTAAAATATCTTACTGCTTTATAATAGTATTTGGTAAATCATAAAATGGAAAACCAAGGAGAGAYCTAGTTTCAACTTATTTAGAATTTAAACAATTTAAAAACTTGATGAAAGTTCCTACAAAGCAAATTAAAGGTTTAAAGAAGGTCCAAAAAAGATGAGTTTCAACTATTATTTGACTAACAACCTAAAAATCTTACAATATCCATTTACATTCACAAACTGATATGCTAATTGCAAACTATCCTGAGGAGTTTTATTTAATAAAATCATGTACTTTGTCTAGTCTGTTACTACAAGCTCTTTCACTTCCTCAATTGAATGCCTTTTTCTTCCTATTAAAGGAAGTACTTGTACATTGTAGAAATTTAAAACTGATTTTTTTCTTCTTCCACTAGTGCATTATTATTTATTTTTTATACCTTTATTTTATTTATTTATTTTTATGTGTGCTGAGGATTGAACCCAGAGCTTTCCACATGCTAGGTGGGCACTCTACCTTTGAGCCACAACCCCAGCCCCCAGTTTATTTATTTTTGATTGGTGCTTTATAGATAAACAGAAGGTGGAATTCACAGTGGTATATTTATACACGAAGAGCATGATTTTGTTAAATTCATTCCACATTTTCTTTTTCCCATCCTCCCTCCCTCCCTCTTAATCTCCTCCTACTCTACTGATCTTTCCTCTATCTTTATGATATCCCATCCCCACCCCTTCTTTCCCGTATTTGGCTCTAGCTTCCACGTGTGAGAGAAAACATTTCAACCTTGATTTTTTGAGTTTGGCTTATTTCACTTACCATTATGTTCTCTAGTTCCATTCATTTGCCAGCAAATGCCATAATATCATTCTTATTTATGGCTGAGTAAAACTCCATTATGAATTCAGACCACAATTTCTTAATCCATTTATCTATTGATAGACATCCGGGAAAGGTAAACAATTTGACTATTGTGAACTGTGCTGCTATAAACATTGAAGTGGATGAATTGCTATAGGATGCTGATTGTAGTTCTTTTGAATAAATATTGAGGCATGGGATAGCTGAGTCACTTGGTAGTTCCATTCCTAGTTAACTGTTCATTTTGGTGGTACTGGGGTTTGAACCTAGGCCCTTGCAGTCCCACCAACAATGTATAAATGTACCTTTCCCCCCACATCCTTGTATTTAGTATTATTTGTATTCTTGATAACTGCCACTGGAGTGAGAGGAATTCTTAGTGTAGTTTTGATTTGTATTTCTCTAATTGCTGGAGATGTTGAACATGTCTTATACCTTTTTTGGCCATATGTTCTTGCTTCTTTTGACAAATGTCTGTGTAGTTCTTTTGCCCATTTATTGATTGAGCTATTTTTTGATGTTAAGCTTTTTGAGTTCTTTATATATTCTGGGTTTTAATTCCCTGTCATAGAAAGATTTTCTCTCTGTAGGCTCTTTTTAGGCATAAAGAAGTCTGATAGTGGAATTATTTGGATCTTCTAGCTATAGGATTGTTTGCTGTGCTGATTTTTTAATTTGTTGCCATCCCACTTACTGATTCTTGGTTTTATTTTGCACAGCCTGAGAGATAGGAATCTAGATTCATTTGTCTACATATGGATACCCAGTTTTCCCAGCATCATTTGTTAAGAAGTCTGTCTTTTCTGTAATGTATACTTTTGGCACTATTGTCACGCATCAGACAACTAAGTATATAGGTTTGTCCCTGTGTCTTCTATTCTATTCTACTGGTCTTCATGCCTATATTGATGCCAACATCATGCTGCTTTTGTTACTTTTGTTACTCTGTAGTATAATTTGAGATAGGTATTGTGATGCCTCCTGCATTGTTCTTGCTCAGGACTACTTTGGCTATTCCAGCTCTCTTATTATTCCAAATGAATTTTAGTACTCTTTTTTTCTAGTTCTGTGAAGAATGTTATTGGCATTTCAATGGGGATTGCAYTGAATCTGTATAGTGCTTTTGGTAATATGGCCATTGTGACAACATTAAAATTTTGCCTATTGAAAAACATGGGATATCCTTCCATCTCTAAGGTCTTCAATGTCTATTTTCAGTGTTCTTCAGTGTTGTATAATTCCCAAAGAATTTTTTTTTTTTTTAAATATTGTGAATGGTTTTTGGACGTCTTTCTTAGAATCCAGTAGTAACTGGAATATAGAAAAGCTATTGATTTATGAATGCTGATTTTGTATCTTGTTACTTTKCTGAATTCATTTATCAGCTCTGGAAGTCTCTTAGTGGAAATATTTGGATCTTTTAGATATAGGATCATGRCAGCAGCAAACAAAAACAATTTGAGGACTGGGGATATATAGCTCAGTTGCTAGAGTGCTTGCCTTGCATGCATAAGGCCTTGGGATCAATACCTAGCATCACACACACAAATAATAATAATTATTTGATTTTTTCTTTTCCTATTTGTATCCCTTTAATTTCCTTCTATTGCCGGATTGCTCTAGCTAGAGTTTCAAAAACTATTTTGAATAGGGATGGTCATATTGGACATCCTTGTCTTGTTCCTGACTTTTCTCCATTATGATGCTGACTTTGGGTTTGTCATATGTAGGCTTTATAATATTGAGTAAAATACCCTCTATCCCCAATTTCCCCAGGTAAAAGTATAATTTTTTTAAAATCCAAAATCTCCCACCCAAAGATAATCAGAGTTGGCACATTAGTATATTTCCCTTGAAAACTTCTCTGTGTGACAGAGAATATACATGCTTGTATGTTCATAAACATGGAATTATACAATCATTTGTAGTAACTTCTTAAACTTTAATATATTGTGACCGTATTTCCATTTCAGTTACAGTATCCATGCTATGGATAATTATTTCCCTATTATTGAACATTTAGGGAAAGAACCATTTTTTGCAACTATAAATAATGCTTTAATTAATATCCTTGTACATATAATACTATAAGTTCTTGTAAGAATTAAAATATCTTTTAAATTCAGCCATTTAATGGTTTAGATCTGCCTTATTACTAAGTAATATTATGAAATATAATGGTGTTGATATAATTTTAATGAACATGAATAACTTACTAATTTTATTTCCTGAACAAAAATTCTTACCGTGCRATAACAGATTCAATTGGCATGATATCAGGCACATAGTGGGCCATGGGGGAAACAAAGTGTCCATCTAGGATCTTACAGTCTGACTGCTCCTCAATCTAAAAGAAAAGAAATCAAAGATGTATTCCAGTAGACTAAGATATCTATCTTATTCTATCATGGATGTTTTTCTAATACAAAATTTTATTAAATTAAAAATTATTTTCAGTGCTTACTCTATTTACTTTTAGCTCCACTGTACTTTCTGAACCTAGCTTCTACCTACACACACTATTTTCTTCTAGATCCTTTACTATAGTCTAGTCTGGAAAATAAATAATAAATCACATTTAATGACAGGCAATAACTCAACGTAAAATAATAGTCAAGAAAATTCAACAGCATTCAACAATCCAAGAAGAATCATAAGAACAATTTTTGAGTTGGATGCAGTAGCCTGTAATCCCAGCTMATCAGGAGGCTGAGGCAGGAGAATCAAAAGTTCAAGGCCAGCCTTGAAAACTTAGCAAGACTCTGTCTCAAAATTAAAAAATAAAAATAAAAAAGGGCTGGGATCTAGTTCAGTAGTATAGTGCCTCTGGGTTCAATTCCCAGTATGGCAAAAAACAAAACAAGTCAGGTGTGGTGGTTCATGCCTATAATCCCAGCGAGTAAGAAGGCTGAGGCAGAAGAACTGCAAGTTCAAGGCCAGCCTCAACAACTCAGAATTTCACTTTCTATCTCAAAAAAAAAAAAAATAAGCAGGCTGGGGATGTGGCTCAGTGGTTAAGCACCTCTGGGTTAAACCCCCAGTATGGGAGCAGGGAGTGAAAGAAGCCAAACACAAAAAATTACACATTATATGATTCTACTTATAAGATAGGTCCTAACTAGGGCTGAAGTTGTGGCTCAGTGGTAGACTGCAAGCCCCGCATGTGTGAGGCATTGGGTTCAATTATCAGCACTGCATATAAATAAATGATTAAAACAAAGGTCCATCCTCAACTCAAAAAACATAAAAAGAAAGGTCCTAACTAGGAGAATTCATAGTAACTGCCAGCAGGTAGGGGAAAGGGGGAATGGGAAATGACAACTAATGATTACACATTGGGAAGATGTTCTGCAATTAGTGAAAAGAGTGATGGTTGTACATCTTGCTAGTAAATTTTAAAACACTCAATTGTACACTTTGAATTACATTTTTTTTTGATATTTATTTTTTAGTTTTTGGCGGACACAACATCTTTGTTTGTATGGGGTGCTGAGGATCGAACCCCAGGCCGCACGCATGCCAGGCGAGCGTGCTACCTCTTGRGCCACATCCCCAACACTGAATTACATTTTAATTTTGAAAAACCACAGGGAGATGGATCTGTAAGAATATATCCGAAATCTTAACAGTAATTCCMTCTGGGAAGGGAAATAGAAGTAGATGGTTGAAAGCAGAAATTAAAGGAGTTTTTTTGATTTTTACTTGGTATTCTTTAGTTTGTTTTAAGGCTATAATGTATTTTTCCAATAGGGGAAAAAAAGTAAAAAATAGAGATATTTAACAAAATTTAAGTCAGGAAGCAATGTTTTAAATCCATAAACTATGAAGGAACAGTTATGATATCAAGAAGATATTTGCAACACAAAAATTTTCTTCTTAGCAGTGGAAATCTTTTTTCCCCTCTGGTGCTGGGGACTGAACTTGGTGGTACTTTACCGCTGAGCTTTTTAAATTTATTTTGAGACAGGATCTCACTACTTGCTGAGGTTGGCCTCAAACTTGTGATTTTCTTGCTTCAGCCTCCTGTGTCACTGAGATTAGTCATGGGCCATCACACTGATCATGGGAAACTTTTTAAAAAAGGAAGAGTTCTAAAGATATCCAATACAGCAGTGGAGTGAGGGATGGGAAGTTCAGCCATTTGTATCCCTTTTCCAACATCATCTCAGGTATCCAATATATAAATCTAGAAATATTTTACATAAAAACAAGTAGTTGCTTAAAAAACTAAATGATTTCAAAAACATTTTATCTAATTTTACAGTATTTTCTAACATTTTTCTCAACAATTAATAATAACTCTTCATGTTGTGATTCTCCAACTAGATTACTCCACTTTAATACTTACTAGTCTTCTTTAATGTTGAATAATTTACCTTAATCCTCTTGAGCCTAAGGATACAAAATGAGACTCTGAAAGATTCAGCCTAAATACTTTTTTGTACTTAGGCAAGTATCAAATATATGCTTCCAAATATATATGAATAGAGTTATTAAACACATCTGGTTAGGGGCTGGGACTGTAGCTCAGTGGTAGAGAGCCTGCCTCACACCTGTGAGGCACTGGGTTTGATCCTCAGCACCACATAAAAATAAATAAATAAAGCTATTGTGTCCATCCACAACTAAATAATAATAATAATAATAATAATAATAATAAAAAAACAAAAAAATGCCCTACATCTGGTTAGGGTACAAATAGCATTCTGAATGGAAGTCCACTGCATTCATTACTAGGGTTTATTGTTATTATAATCTAACATTCCATCTATTCTCCACATACATTTATGCTAAATCAGAACTTGTATAAATGTATTGTTTTCATTTGAATACCTTATCAATGTATACTGGATAATCACTCGAAACCAGATTCTGGCATCTTTCTCGATTTCCAATCATTTTTCTGAATTCAAAGAGTCTATTATAGAAAAGGAAACAAAAAGGAAAAAAAATTAGCAAATCCAATTCATTCTATTTTATTTTATTTTTGGTACCAGGGATGGGACTCAGGGGTGCTTAATCACTGAAACACCTCCCCAGCCCTTTTTTATGTTTTACTAGAGACAGGGTCTTGTTGAGTTGCTTAGGGCCTCACTAACTTGCTGAGACTGGGTTTGAACTCCTGATCCTCCTGCCTCAGCTTGGGGTATCTCAGAGTTGCTGGGATAACTGGCATGCACCACTGCACCTGGCTCATAAGCCATTTTGAAATTTTTTAATCTTTTAAGGAAAGGGTCAGTTGATTTTTTTTTCCCCAAACTGGACACTCATCTCAAAAAAAAAAAAAAAAAATTGGAGGAACAATAATGTGGAGAAAATAATGAACACATAAAGATTAAAAATGAAGTCCTTGCAGTGTTGTACTCCTGTAATCCAAGCAGCTGGGGAGGTTGAGACAGGAGGATTGTGAGTTCAAAGCCAGCCTCAGCAAAAGTAAGGCACTAAGGAACTCAGCAAGACCCTGTCTGTAAATATAAAATAAGTTTGGGGATGTGGCTCAGTAGTCAAGTATCCCTGAGTTCAATACCTGGTACCTAAAACAAAAAGAAAAACAAAAACAAAACAACACAAAATGAAAGGCACCAAGTCTGAAAATTAATTAATTCCAGATTTGCCCATGAGCTACAGTGAATCCCCAGTTTTACAGCCATGGGTAGACTCAAGTTACTCAAGAAAAGTCAATCCCTAGGAAATACATAGAACTTGAATTGCCTAATGAATTACTGAAGTTAGAAATCTAGCTTGTAGCTGGATGCAGTGATGATGCATGAATATAAAGAAGTTGAGGCAGGAGGATTGTAAGATCAAGGCTGGCCTGGGTGAGTTAGCCAGATTCTGTCTCCAAAAAAAAAAAAAAAAAARAAAATGCTGGGGTTGTAGCTCATTGATTTGAGTACTTATGTAGCAAGCACCACACCCTGGGTTAAATAATCGGTACTGCAAAAATAAGAATAAAAATAATATAAATATTTAGTTTGTGTTTCTGACAGCTCTTTAAAATCTGAATTATTTAAAAAATAGCCTTTTATAAGCTAAAACTTCAATTAAGACATATATAAATAAATGTTTAATTTCTTGGACAATTCATTTTTGAGCATAAAGGATTTTAAAATTGAAGTAAAAATGTAAATGTTACTAAAGCAACAAACTTAAAATAAGTATTCAAGGGGGAAAAAAAAAAAGATTACCTTTTGAGATCTTCTGGTCTTCCCCATCCTCTSATAAAAAGTTTTGTGAGGAGAAGTCTCCGGTATAGAACATCTAACTTGCTTACCCCCATTAGTAGCAAACAGCATCTAGGAGAAAAATTTAAAATGAGTTTAAATTTTTWAAAAAATGCAAATAGCAGGTCAATTTTCTAACTACTTCTTTGATGAGGTGAAATTCAAAATTTAGAGTAAATCCTTGAATTTATTCCTTTGAAAGTAAGACATGAGATTTAGAAAAAAATGAGAACAGAAGTGGAGAAAATGAAAAGCTGCAACCTTCATAAAGCTGCATTCTGCTAGGGCAAGAGCTCCCTATCCTCTGCTCATTGACTGACAGGTACCTGATATTTATTGGATATAAATAGTAGCAGATAATACTTACATAGTATTATATTATCAGCCAGGTACTATTTTAAAAACTACAACACATACACTTTCTCTTTTAAACCTCCCAAAGATTGGGTTACAGGGAGGAGGAAACAAATGTCACACAGTCAGTAGAAAATAGTCATAATCTAACTCCTACACAAAGCTCAAGATCTAAGTACCACACTATAACTACTCCTCTTGTATACCACAATGAAGGACAAGTACTAATCTGTGCTACTACCTGCCTACCATTTACCTGTCTCTTTTCAATTATTTCTAAAGATTATTTTATACTCACCTCCATCTTTTCTARCTGAAAGGTGTGGTTTCAATTTGTGTGTTTAACCTGATTTAGGTTCAGAATTTATTCTACTTAGATAAATGGAAAATGGAAATTTATATTTCAATCAGTCAACTTTATTAAGTACTTATCGTTTTGTATTTTTTTTGTGAATATTATTGCTGTCTGCATACACACACACACACACACACACATATATGCATGTAAGCACACACACATATATATTTAATTTTTAACAAATTTCAAGTTAAACTTAATGTTTTTTGTCTGCCCAGGTGTGCAATCTACCCCACCGTCAACTGGGCTGGCAATTGGTTGTTTTTAGGACTGGACCAGCAAACCAAATCGTYCATACCATCTCACAAATGTTTATTTGATGATGTACTTATCAGGCAAATCCAAAGTATAGCTAGAATACAGTATTATTTTAACACTACTTATTCACTCTCTAGTTTCATGTTATTCAATTACTCTTGATAAAAATTTGGTGTTGACATAATGTTAGAGAAAAAAACAGCACTGCATATACAGCTTTGTTTACATTATTCATATCTATGGCATAATACACATAAACTGGTATTCCGGTTACTAGATTCCTATAARTTATCATCAATTCACCAGAGCTAAATCATCGTGGATGGCTTAATAAAAATTTAAGTTTCTGAACTATTAAGAAAGTATTTCTTACTTTTTCCTTTCAACAAATATTTTCTTCTTAAGTGCTTAAGAAATAATGCCAATCATTATTTTAGGCCCTGTGTTACAAGGATGATCAAAGCACTTTCCTGCTCTCATGGATCTTTTTTTTTTTAATATTTATTTTCTAGTTATAGGTGGACACAATATCTTTATTTTATTTTATGTGGTGCTGAGGCTAGAACCCAGTGCCTCACGCATGCCAGGTAAGCACTCCACTGAGCCACAATCCCAGCCTAGATTTTTTATTTTAGTGAAAAGAAAATGATTTAAAAAATCTTTTTTTACCCAGGCGTGGTTCTTGGGTTTGGAATTATATAAATCTTAAATTCTATTTCAGCCCCCAAAATATAAAATGCCAGGCTTTTCTGACCCTCTAATTATGCAGGTCTTTTTAGGCAGGGCTGGCTGTGCTCAGRGTATCCAGTATCACCATGAGCAGATAATAACCCAAGCTCAGAGTAAAGAYAACTCCAATTTACCAGAAGGAGGCACCATCTGGAACCACGCCAGACACTAAAAGCCCTGATACTAGCTGGACTAACACCAATGAGTTTCGGCAGAAACAGGACCCACTGTTTTCAAGTTATTTATCAAGCCAAACTGACACAACTGCCATCTATGTTTTTACATAGCCATTGTGAAAAGGAAAAACAWAGTGAAACAAAAATAGAAGTTCTAGTACTGTGCCAAGGAATGAAATTCCTTTCCTAGAAATGAGCTTTATTGCTAAGGTGGCACTCCTGGTCTATCATGCCATCTAGTACTCTTATCTCCTGTCACTTTCATACCCAAGTATTTAAACAGCCCTGATTTCTGCAGGACTTTTATCCTCATGTTGTTTATGTGTTACATATGTACCTCAAAGGCATAAATACTTTAAAAAACAACACCATGCACAAGAAATTTATTCCCACCCTCCAAAAAGACACCTAATTTTTAATTTTGTAATTTCACTTTTAAATCACCTTTTTTCTATACAAGATTAAGTAGCTAAGAAGGGCTTTAGATACCTTAGATATCCAATGTTAAAAATCTACTACAGGGGGCCAGGGATATAGCTCAGTTGGTAGAATGCTTGCTTTGCATGCACAAGATCCTGGGTTCACTCCCCAGCACCACCACCAAAAACTCCCCCCCTTCCCCCCCCCCCAAAATCTACTACCATTGTGTAACATGTTTAATCATTTTTAACCTTACACTGGAGAAAATTAGGAAAATAGAAGGTTTGTTTAGGAGGTGGGTGGCTATCTATTTTGAAGGGTCATCTAAGGAAATCTACTAAGCGGATTATTTCATAACCTCATGTGAAACTTTCAGGAAATAATCTAATCTCCTTTTTCCAAAGGGCTAAAAGTTTTTTTTAACTGTCTACTTAGCCAAGGTGAGGTGGGACATGCCTGTAATTCCAGATACTCCTATAATCCCAACTTCTTCACAAGTTTAAGGCCAGCCTGGGCTATTTAGTGAGACCCACTGTTTTCAAGTTAGGTATCAGGCCAAACTGAAACAACTGCCATCTATGTTTTTAAATAGCCATTGTGAAAGGGAAAAACAAATTGAAACAAAAACAGAAGTTCTAGTACTGTGCCAAGGAATGAAATTCCTTTCTTAGAACTGAGCTTTATTGCTAAGGTGGCACTCCTGGTCTATCATATCATCTAGTACTCTTATCTCCTGTCACTTTCATACCCAAGTATGTAAACACAGCCCTAATTTTTTAAATGGCTGGGGATGTAGCTYGGTGGTGGCACCCTGAGTTCAATCTCCCAGTACCAGGAAGAAAAAGAATGCTGTGTGTTCCTAAAAGATACTTAGAGCTTATTTAGATTTTGCCAGTCCTGCAAGTACTCATTGCATGTGTTTTTGTGGTCTGAAGTCATCTCTTGGACACAGCAATGGAAAGGAGAATACCTGGGTCAATCCACTAGCTGTGTGACCTTGAGTAAGTCACTTAACTGATACTTGGCCTAATGTATAATAGCAAATTATTTTATTAACATAAAAATTGAATAGTTTTGACATTTTAAAAGATATGAGAAAAGATACTTCTTGTTCTTTCCACAGGAAGCATGATAGTGAGGAGTACAGGCTTTATAGTCAGAAAGGCTGTTTTTTTTTTCTCATTTAAACTGTTGGTTACTAGCTGTGTGACCCTATGCAAATTAACTTAATCTCCCTACCTTCAATTTCTGTCTATTTGAGAAAATTCCCACTTTAGCAGGTTATATATGTGAGGGTGTAGGAATGAAGTAAGGTAATTCAACAAGCATTCCTTCAGCTTACATACCTGTAGCAAACTTTCTGTTAAGTGCAATACTGGCTAAAAGTTCCTTTGTCCACTACATATGTGCCATACACTGCCCTAGCCTCCAGGGATTAAAAAAGGCAATGATGGGGCTGGGGTTGTGGCTCAGTGGTAGCTTGCTTRCCTAGCATGTGTGAGGCACTGGGTTCAATTCTCAGCACATATAAACACATAAATGAATAAAGGTCCATCAATAATTAATAATTTTTTTAAAGAAAGGCAAKGATGGATGACAGTGAAAAAACATGGCTAGAAAATGCTAAACTTCCTACCTATGAATTTTGTTGGAACTAATTACAGCTACTATAAATGAATTTGCAAGACYGAACCAAACAAGTACCAACTAATCAGGTCTAGATTCAGATGATTCTGAACAGAAGACACTTCAAGTTTAGCTATTCACCAGTGGAATGTGCCCAGAAGTTCCCAAATGAGGCAAAGCTCAGAAATGATGGCAATGCCACACATAACTGTGGAATYTGACACAGAGTGTGAGCTTATAAACATTAGTTGAGGGGCTGGGGGGTAGCTCTGTGGTCACAGCGCTTGTTCAGCATGTGTGAAATACTGGGTTGGATCCTCAGCACCGCACAAAAATRAATAAATAAAATAAAGGTATTGTGTCCATCTACAACCAAAATAATTTTTTAAAAATTAGGTGAAATGGACCGAGTGAGCTCCACTTCCACATTGAGCGATTGCGGGAAAGTCTCTTCTCTGGACCTTTAGTGCTCCATACAATAGAAAATTTGTTTGCTTTTCCTATCTCATAGGCTAGYTGTGATCAAATGAAATCACTAGTTCTAATAAAATGTTAATTTACGGGACAAACAAGGGCTACTGCAACCAATTAGCCTACAGGCCTAGTTGTAGGAATAAGATGTTAATACGTAAAGACCGGGAAGGAAATAGCATCTAGATGTAGTGAGAACACCCGTATTTCCTAAAAATGCCATCTTCTTTGTGATAAGGAGCCTTTCGTTGCTAAGCACTTTCCCAAACCCCAGCGACCCGAGCGGGCCCTGCAGAGTGGCACCTCGCAAGGCTCCGGCCCTAGTCCGCGGGACTTCCGCGGGACCGCGGCGAGACGCCCCCTTCGGCCTCGGCCCTCGCCAGCCCTAGGCAAGGCGCCTTCCCAGCCGGGCAGCTGGGGAGGGGGGGTCCGCACCTCGGCCTCCCTCCTCGCCGCCCTCGCCGCGCGCCCGTCCCGGCCGGCTCTCGCCCGCCGCGCCCCAGCTTCGCGCTGCGCCTGGCGTCCCTGCCGGTCCGCACGTAGGCGGCGCGCCGAGAGGCGCGGGACTCGGCCTCGGCCGACTACTTACTGGCCGCCGGGCGAAGCCCACGGTTCGCTGGCCGAGCGTCCTGGCGCCGCCGCCGCCGCCGCTCCCGGGACTCCTTTGCCAGCCCCACAGCCGCACCGACCGAAGGCTCTCCAGGAATAGTGGCGGTGGCACCCGCAGGCGGCGCGGGGAGGGAGGAGCTCGAGCCAGGCTGGGCGGCGCCTGGACCCACGCCGGCTCTCCCCGGCTCTACCCCGCGACGCGGGGAAGCTGGGGAGTGCGGACGCGGGCAGGAGGCCGACGACGCGGAGCCCCACCCCTTCTCCCCGCCTCCGAGCGCTGGCGCCCCGCCTACTTCCGGCACCAGGCGCGCACGCGCATTGCTAAGGTTGTTTGGCCAGCTCCGGGTTTGAACCCGAGGGGTCAGGTGTCGCGTGAGCTGGCCGCGCGCCTCGGTGTGGGGGCTGTAACTATGGCGAGCCCGGGCGAGGATTCTGAAMGGGAGCCGCTCTTAGGGGACTACCCATCCGGAAGCAGGTGAGCTGGGAGGACCTCTCACCCTCCCGCTGTGGAGGCCCGCTGTTACCTCCCGGGGCCGCGCCCTCGCTGACTGGGGAGCCGGCTCGGCCGGAGCCGGGCTCTGCTCCCAGCTGTGGGGAAGGGCGTCAGACCGCGGCGCGGCCAGCCTGGGGTTCGGGTTCACGACCTAGCACGAAACCCAGAAAGAAGGCGCTGCAGAAAAATGAGTTTATTTGAGAATAGTGGGGAGTGGCCGTGCGGGGTCGGCAGGCTAGGGCGCCCCTAGGCGCCCCCGGGAGGGGCGGGGAGGGAGAACCCGTGCAGACTGAGCCGAGAGCCGCTCGGAGACGGGGGTTAGAGGTCACCGCAGCTGGCGGCAGGAGTTGGCGTTTGTTCCTGGGCGAGATTCCCACTGCTAGGTAAGTGTCCTTGTGCGGGTGACGTCTAGACTACCGGGGGCTCCAGGAGGCTCTTGATAATCCTATGTCAGGCACTCGTGCCTGAGAGCTTTTTCTTGTCTACTCGACTCCTCTTTTGTTGGAGTTTGATACAGAATGTATGAGAAACCCAAGCTGCCTCTCTGACTTTTAACTGCAGTAAAGTTGCAATGGCCAAATCACAGCACTGTGATGGCCAGTTAGAACTGATCACTTTCACATTTCACAAAATGATGGTTTTAATCCATACTTGAAGATACTGATCTTAGTATTGACTCATTTAATAGTCTGATAACTTCTTGATACTTTCTTAGCAAATAAGTGGGCTCCCCTTTTGTCCTACGCCAAATGTGCAGATGAAAACCTATGTTTACATATTTAAGGGATAACGTGCTAGTATTTTTTAAAAATTATTTTTATTTATTTGTATGTGGTGTTGAGAATCGAATCCAGTGCCTCACGAATGCTAGGCAAACGCTCTACCACTGAACCACAACCCGTGTGTTAGTATTTTGATTCTTATAATTCTTACTATTCAGAAGTGTTTATACTTTTTGTCAAATTGCAGAGTTAAGTATGTATTTTGCCTTTAGGAAAACAGAATTAAATAGTATTATTTAAATAATAAAACTGTATTGTTTCATTCAAAATATAATTATTTTGTTAAGTAAATTAATAAATATACAGACATAAGCTGTCTAAATTTTGATTTTTGCTCATTTAATTCTTCTTCAGCACCAAATATTTATTCTCTTTTATTGAAACCCTCCAGTTCTCTATTTACTAAACAGACCATATGAAATGCAGTTTTATCTTACTTGATTTTATCTTGAGATCATTAGAATGAATATCAGCATTGAAGTATGTTTTAATATAATGGATGTCCTGTAGGTCTGTGAAGGCATTTGGGTTTCAATAAACTGCTTACTAATTTATTCCACACTGCTATACTTTTTAAGATTATTTATGTCAGCTTTCTAGTTTTACTGTCTATTTTGTTACTCTTGGAATATCCCTCATCTCATTTGTGTAATTGGTCAACAACCCCTGTTTTTGTTGCTCTCAGCAACCTCCCTTCTCTCTAGTTTTATTTGAGGGCTYCTAGTTTGCTGTGGCTTTGAAAACCAGGTATCTATGCTTAATAGAATTGTGTACTTCCTCTGATTTGGGGCTAAAGATCTTTCCTGTTAGTCAAGTGCACGTTTGAGTGCATGGACTTCGTGGCATTTGAGTTTCTCAGAATCACTTTTGCTTCTTTTTTTTTTTTTTTTGGTCTGTTTTCCAAACAGATTGCTCCTTGARTCATAGCTCAACATTTAACCATATTAAATGTGTTCTTATGGTATATTGCACATTCTATGACTCTGTCCAAATAAGCCTATTTAAAAATAGATTTTTTTTTCCTTAGCTTTGATTTCATCCAAGTGATTGTCTGATGCTCATTAGGGTCCATCTAATTCAATGTTCCCTTCATTAACAATTCTTCAGTTTGAGGTTCTAGAGTTAGCAATGTATTTATGGTATTGGGAAGTGAACATGGAGTGCTCTACTACTGAGCTGTATCCTCAGCCCCTTTCTTTTTTTTATTTTTGAATTACAGTTGCAATAGTTTGCCTAGGCTGGCCTCAAACTTGAGATCCTCCTGCCTCATCCTCCCAAGTCCTTGGGATTTTAAGCATGCACCACTGTGGCCTGCTAAGATTTAACATTTTAAAAATAAAAAGAATATTTTGAGAATAATTCAATAAGTATGCTATCTTTAAAAAACATAATTTGATTCCTTAACAAATTGAACCTGTCAGGCCTTGTTCAATTTGACTATCTGGCACAGACATGAGTCTGGTTAGCCATAGTCCTTGTTGTCTAACAAGGTTGGTTATAATTTGCTGACATGGAGGGGTTAGTTTCCAATTCCTTTCTTGAGTTTCCAGTGCTTCCCAATGGACCTCCTTTAGAGCTTCATTAAGGAGAACAGTGATGGATAAACTTTTTCTGGGAAGGCCCAGATGGAAGTATTTTAGGCTTTATCAGGCCTAAAGTAAAAGTCAAGAATATAAGGATAAATACTAACAAAAAAACAAATTCTACAAAAGTTTTTGGTAAAAAATTTTAAATATAATAATAAGTGAATAAAATATTTTGTAACATTGGTCTATTAATGAGAGAAATAGCATTTTAAGAGAATGACATTTCCTTAATTGGAGTTCAAAATTAGTGTTTTCAGACATTAAATTGATTAAAAAAAATCCATGTGTAAAAAGTATTCTTACCTTGTAAGTCATACAGAAAAGGTGGTGGGCTAGATTTGGCCTACAGAATATAGTTTGCTATTTCTCTCTTAGAGTAACCTAAAATGCTATAGGTGCTTCMAAGTTTTCTTTGCAATTTCAGTCTTTGTAAAAAACAATATTACCGGGGCTTCTGTCCTGATTGATCATATCTTTATAGAATCAGTTTCGTTTTTCTTATTTCTGTAGATGTTAAATCATTATATTGTTCCTTCAGTGAGCACACATTTCTCCTGTCCTCTTAGAATATGGATTCTGTTTTGTTCTTCAATAATGAATTCAAAGTTTTTTGGCAAACACAGTACTGCTATTAACCTACGTCCCCTTGTGATTTGTATATGCCAACAATAGCAAAATAGTTGGTGTGCAAATGTTTTGCTTTTTAAAGCTATCTTCTGTCTTCTAAGTATCTGTATACAATAAAGGGTAAATTATACTTTTTCTACATATGATTCATGGAAATTTTTAAAATTTGCTCATTTATATGATTAGTACAGCAGAAAACAGTATTTGTAAATTACATCTCTGTCATACCATTTGCAAACTAAAAGCAAGAAAAAATTATTAACACATAAAGATCTGCTCATAATGAGACAAGGATATTCAATTTGTATAGATTTATCTGAAATGCTTCAGGTTTTGGATTTTTCCAGATTTTGGAATATGCAAAGGTAATTTTATACAGTATTTTTAGTGTGTTTATGTTTTGACTATGACCTATCATGTGGGGTTTATGTGTAAAATTTTCCACTTTGGTGTTGTGTTCATGCTCAAAAAGTCTCAGATTTTAGAGATTTTGGATTTTGGGTTTTCAGATTTAGGATGTTCAACCTATATTACTTTTTATCCTTTACATTTAGAGAATGGGACATTATAGAAACTGAAGAGCATTATAAGAGCCGATGGAGATCTATTAGGATTCTGTATCTTACTATGTTTCTCAGCAGTGTAGGTAAGTGTTAGACATTATAAAAATTTTTAAAATTCAAAATTAATTTTTACCTCATTTAATATTTTAAAATTACCTGTTAGGGTGTGAAAAATACATAACATAAAAATTATCATCTTACCCTATCTGAATTTGGTGGTTTAAGCATATCTTATTCATATTGTTATGTAACCAATCTCTGAAATATACTCATCTTATAAAATTGAAACTTTATACTTGTTAACTCCCACTTGAACTCCTGGGCTCAAATCGTTCTCCCACCCTCCTGAAAAGCTGCGACTACGTGAATGAAGCGTCATTAAATTTTGATGTAGTTTAGTTTAACTGTTTTTTTGTTTTTTTTAATTTATGTGGTTGTTGTCTTTGAGCCTTAATTTAGTTTTCTCATTGCCATAACATACAAATAGTAAAGTATGAGAATATTAATTGGTGTTGCTTAATGGATTTTAGTGTAGTATCATTATTTATAAATATATAGTTACTTAAAAGTAAAATTTTATAAGGAAATCTTTTCAGAATATCAGTATCTGTAACCATATTAAAAATAAGAGGGCTGATACACACACCTGTAATCCCAGTGACTCAAGAGGCTGAGACAGGAGGATCACAAGTTCGAGGCCAGCCTGGGCAACTGAGCAAGATCTGGTCTCAAAATAAAAATAAAGGGCTGGGGATGTAGCTCAGTGGTAGAACACCCCTGGGTTTAATTCCCAGTACTGGGGAATTAAAAGGATGAGGAAACATAAGAATTACCAATATTGCGAAATGTTTAGAGAACTAACTTTTTTCCAAGTTTAGATTCTTTAAATCTGTAGGCATTGATTTTTACAAGTGGTTTCTTTTAGAAGATAAATTTAATGTAGGTCGTTCTACTAGACTTTTTTTTTTGTATATTCCTGTTTTTTTCTCATCTGCCAGATTGGATAATACCACTTTTTATTTATTTACCTTTGGTACTTGGAATTTAACCCCAGGGGTCCTTTATCACTGAACTTCATCCTGAGACCTTTTATTTATTTATTTTTTTAGAGACAGGGTTTCACTGAATTATTAAAGTTCTTGCTAAGTTGCTAAGGCTGTCCTCAAACTTGCCATCCTCCTGCCTCAGCTTCCTGAGTCTCTGGGATTGCAGGCTTGCACCACTCACCTACCCAATGTGTACTTTAAATGGGTGAATTGTATAGTATGTGAATTATATCTCAGTTAAACTTTTTTATAAATAGGCTTTCTAGAATTTATGATTGGATTTGGTTAACCTTTAAAATTGACAAATAAGGCTGTGGTTATAACTCAGTGGTGGAGTACTTGTGTGAGTCCCTGGATTTGATCKCTAGCAATACACACACATATACAGAGAGAGAAACAAACAAGTAATATTGATAAATAGCATTGGCATTTTATCACTGAAGTTCTTAAGCAGTAAAGGCTTGTAGTGATAGTGAATTTTTAAAAGATATGTACATCATGAATAATCTTGGTTCTTTATATCCAGTACTCCCTGTATGTGACCATTTTCCTTTTTCCTAGTCTTCCCTTACAGTAAATTCTCTATCCCAAAGAACACAGGCTAAAAGCCTGCCACTTCCTGTCTAACAATGTGGCCTTTCCTCTATTTATGTCTGCTATAAACACTTAAAGCTTTTAGTAACATCCATTTAGAGATGAGACTACATGAGTGAGGAGAAATAGGTTCTCTGCTTTTATTGTCTTAATATGGGCATGTACTATGATTCTGTTTTTTTCAGTCTTTAGTACTCATTTTCCTTTCAATAATTAAAAATGACACTTTTTGATAAATTACGCATTTGTGTGTACAAATTTATAGGTTTAGAATGATATTTTAAAATCCATGCTGTAGTTCCAAAAATTATATCTGTAATAGTGTTTAAATTGTTGTAATTGTAAATAACCAGGTTTGCCTCTTTACAGGGTTTTCTATTGTGATAATGTCAATATGGCCCTATCTCCAAAAGGTTTGTACATTTCTATCTGTTCTTTCCATAAGTAACTGTAGTAGTAGTAAGTTTTAAGTAGTTGAACATTTTCTAGAGTGGCTCTTTAGTATTCTGTAGTTTAATCTCTACTAGAATAACTTTAGAACATAGTTCCTCAAAAGAGCCTTGTAAGTAAAGTAACAGAATATGTTTTGGGCAAACCAGAACACATTTGGAGTAAAATGGATGCTATACTAAGAAGACAGGATTATAGCTGGACATAGTCTTAATCCACAAAATATACAGTTGATATTCCTGAGGGATAATTTCATATTTTCCCCTTGGAATTAATCTGGATTGTTGGGCAACATTATGAATAGAATAGATAATATGCGGTATTCCCTTGGTTTTCTTGGGATATTGATATCTAGGACTTCCTACCCCAGGATACAAAAATTTATTATGGCTGCTCAAATCCCTTAAGTAAAATGATTTATTTAAGTAAAATTTACATGTAATCTCTTCACATTCTCCAGAGACTTTATTTATTCCTAGATTATATCTAATAAAGTGTAAATGCTATGTAAATGTTTGTTAAACTCTATTATTTATATGTGTAATAGATTTTGTTATTAATTTATAAAGCATCAACCAATGTGATTCTGCATTCTGTATACGGGGTAAAAATGGGAGTTCATAACCCACTTGAATCAAATGTATGAAATATGATATGTCAAGAACTATTTAATGTTTTTGAACAACCAATAATAAAAATTTAAAAAAAATTATAAAGCATCATATTAAAAATAAACATAGAGGGCTGGGGTTGTGGCTCAGTGGCAGAGTGCTTGCCTGGCATGTGTGAGGCACTGGGTTCGATTTTCAGTGTCACATATCAATAAATAAAATAAAGGTCCATTGACAACTACAAAAATATTTAAAGCATAAACATAGAAAACTTGAGAAGGTTAAATTCTATTATTTAGAGAATAATAACAAGGGGAAAAAGTCTATGCTTATTCAGTATACTTTTCAGTGAGACCCTGTCTCAAAATAAAATAAAAAATGGGTCTGGGAAGGTAGCTCAAAGGTAAAGCACCTGGGTTGAATCCCTACCTAGTATCACCACCCCACCCCACCCCCCMAAAAAAAAGGAAAGAGAGAGAGAGAGAGAATGAGAATATGATTTATCATGTGTTCCTGGTGGGAATGCAAAATGGTACAGCCACTTGGGAGTTTCTTAAAAAACCTAAATATAGTTTTAGTGTAGCATCTAGCAGTTATGCTTCCAGATATTTAACTAACTGATTTGAAAATGTATGTCCACACAAAAATCTGCATACTAATGTTTGTAGTAACTTTATTTATAATTGCCAAAAGCTGAAGTATACAACAGATACTTAAAGCAATGAGTAGAGAAGCAACATGTGTACATTTGTATAATGGAATGCTATTCCATTGTAAGGTGGTGTGTACCATTGAAGGATATCATAAAAAGGCTCATAACGCTGTTCTAATCATGAGGAAAACATCAGACAAATCAGTCATAAAAAATAAGGAGAGTCTGAGAAACTGTCACAGCTCAGAGGAATCTAAAAAACATGAGGACTTKGGGCTAGGGTTGTGGCTCAGCAGTAGAGTGCTTGCCTAGCATGTGTGAGGCCCTGAGTTCAATCCTCAGCACCACATAAAAATAAATAAATAAAATAAAAAGGTATTGTGTCTAATTACAACTAAAAAATAAATATATATTTACAAAACCATGAGGACTAAATATAWTGTGGTATCCGGGTGAGATCTTAGAACAGAAAAAGGTCATTAGGTAAGATCTGGGAAAATTTGAATAAAGCACAGACTTTCGTTAATACTAATTATCAGTATTGGTTCATAATCTGTGACAAATGTAGCATACATTTCTTTTGTAGTATTAGGAATTGAACCAGGGGCCTTGCAAGCCCTCTACCACTGACCCATGTCCTCAGATCCTTGGAAGTTAATTTTAAAAGTTATGTTATATAAAAAAAATTATTATCATGACACAAAGCATTCTTTCCATATTGGCAGAGTCATTGGAATTTAAACAGGATATTTAACAAATTAGAAGCAACTATTTCTTTGCTAAAATTACATTTCTTTTATCTAGTCTTTTTTTTTTATTGTAGATGGACATAATACCTTTATTTTATTTACTTTTTTTGTGGTGCTGAGGCTTAAACCCAGGGCCTCACACATGCCAGGCAAATGTTTTACCACTGAGCTAGAACCCCAGTCCCTTATCTAGTCTTTTTAACCTGCAAAAGTCTCAAAAGAAGATTGTTTGTAATGATTCTGCATGTTCTGCATAATAAGTTGAATTTTGAAAAGTTACAAGTCTTTCTGTAGACATTTGACAGCTTTTAAATGTAAATTTATTGAGTTTGTGAGATGATAACTAGTCCTTTGGCAATACAAATGTAACTTCTGCCCAAAACTGTATCAATTTAATCAAGAAATTTCATAATGATATTGAGAACTTCCTGTGTACCAGGTATAATACTAAGCCTTTTTAAAATTAATTTTTAAAATTTATGTATGACATCGGAATGCATTATAATTCTTATTGCACATATAGAGCACCTTTTTTCATATCTCTGGTTGTATACAAAATATATTCACACCAATTTGTGTCTTTCTACATGTGCTTTGTGTAATAAGTCCATCACATTTCACCATCATTTCTAACCCCATATCCCCTCCCCACCCCTCTGCCCTATCTAGAGTTTGTCTATTCCTCCCATGCTCTCCCTCCCTACCCCACTATGAATCAGCCTCCTTATATCAGAGAAAACATTCAGCATTTGGTTTTTTGGGATTGGCTAACTTCACTCAGTAGTATCTTCTCTAATTCCATCTATTTACCTGCAAATGCCATGATTTTATTCTCTCTTATTGCTGAGTAATATCCCATTGTGTATATATGCCATATTTTTTTTTATCCATTCATCTATTGAAGGGCATCTGGGTGGGTTCCACAGTTTAGCTATTGTGAATTGTGCTGCTATAAACATTGATATGGCTGTGTCTATGTATTATGCTATTTTTAAGTCCTTTGGGTATAGACTGAGGAGAGGGATAGCTGGATCAAATGGTGGTTCCATTCCCAGTTTTCCAATAAATCTCCATACTGCTTTTCATAATTGGCTGCACCAATTTCAGCCCCACCAGCAGTCGCAAAAATTAAAATCAAGAGTCAACAAATGGGACGGACTGAAACTAAAAAATTTCTTCTCAGCAAAAGAAACAATCAGTGACGTGAATAGAGAGCCTACATCTTGGGAGCAAATCTTTACCCCTCACACATCAGATAGAGCACTAACCTCTAGGATATATAAAGAACTAAAAAAGCTAAGCACCAAAAAAAACAAATAACCCAATCAATAAGTAGGCCAAGGACCTGAACAGACACTTTTCAGAAGATGGTATACAGTCAGTCAACAAATAAATGAATGTTCATCATCGCTAGCAATTAGAGAAATGCAAATCAAAACTACTCTAAGATATCATCTCACTCTAGTCAGAATGGCAGCTATTATGAAGACAAACAACAATAAGTGTTGGCGAAGATGTGGGGGAAAACGCACACTCATACAGTGTTGGTGGGGCTGCAAATTGGTGCAGCCAATCTGGAAAGTACTAAGATTTATCTACATCATCCTTGAACTTCAGAGCAACCCTGGGAGGTAGTTACTGTTAGTCCTATTTGACAAGTGAAAAATTTGGGCTGAGAAGACAAGTTCTTTGTTCAAGGTCACACAGCTAGAAAATGGCAGACATTTTCTGAATTTCAGGATACTAATTATTTCATGATAGTATGTTGCAGGATATCTTGCTTTTAAGATAGTGTGTGCAAAATATTATCTAGCTTATCATCTGTCAGAAAGATAAAAGCTAGGCTAAACTTTTCTCCCACAAAACAAATAAACAAAAAGCAGCAAATTTTCCAAAAGAATTTGGTTCTATTCTGAATATGTATCTCCTGGCCCCTGGTGACAGACAGGCATCAGTGAAGTGTTGCCCAAAGGTGGGGATGACCTCTAGAAAGACACATTCTTAGAACACAAATTATGAATTAGAGTGATAGCTTATTTCATTGTGTCAGGGAGTTGATGAGTTATGATAATATAGCATGATAATAAAACTGGCATATTATTAAAAGAAAACACTAAGAAATATTTGTCCTTATATTGTATAGGAAAGTCACTAAGTGCATGTAATATAGTGACCTGCTCCTAAGCCCTGTACATATGTTGGCTCAAATAATTTTTATAAAATCTCTGGAGGAGGTTATCCCCACCTGACTGATACAGAATTAAAGTGACTAGGCTTGGTGGTGCCCACCTGTAATCCCAGACAGGCGCTGGAGGTGAAGGCAGGAGGATCACAAGTTCAAAGCCAGCCTCAGCAATTTAGTGAAGCCCTAAGCAACTTAGCAAGACCCTGTCACAAAATTAAAACTGAAAAATGGGCTAAAGATATGACTTAGTGGTTRAATGCCTCTGGGTTTAATACCTGGTATGAAGACAAAAACAAACAAAAAGTCCAAATACATTATATTATAATATAAATAATATATTAAAGCATATTATTTATTTTCTCAGCTACTCAGGATTTTTCAAATAGAGCTAAGTAGAACCTAGTTGGGACACTCCTTAATGGTAGGGACTGTGTTTATTCTTTTTTATATCCCTATTGCCTGTATTAAGTTYTTGATATAGAGTTTATGTTACATTTAAGCAATAATCTGCACGATAATAGGTGAGGAGCTTTGAAACACATGCATTCATATCTAAGTTCTCCTAGCAAAGCATTAACATTGCTGGAACTTTGACTTTGTCAGTACTGTTGCATTTTAGAGAACAATGTTTTGAACTTCAGTACCCAACACTTTGGGAGTTTATTTTTATTTAATTTTTTTTTTTTTGGACTGGGGATTGAACCCAAGGCACTTTACCCTTGAGTTACATTCCCAGTTCTTTTTATTTCTTATGTTGAGACAGGATCTTACTAAGTTGCTGAGGCTGCTGCATATTTGTGATCCTTCAGCCTCTGGAGTACTTGGGATTATAGACATGTACCATCACACCCAGCTCTTGATTTTTAAGTTGATTTTCTATATTTATTTAAATTCATTTTATAAAGTTTAATGGTTCTTGTTTCCCCCAAGTGACTGTTTATGTTGATTTGTTTCACAGTTCCTTTTCTAAATGAAAGTTTTCTATTTTTCTGAAAGTGTTGTATTTTCTGAGTTTTAGTCATTTGGTTCTCTCTTCACTTTTCATGATAGTAAACCCTCTTTAGGTCTAGGGATATAAGTCATCGATAGAATATATGCCTAGCATGCCATAGACCCTGAGTTCAATTCCCAGTAGCATCAAAACCAAAACCCAAACTAAACTTTCTTTAAGTAGCAGAATGGACCCGGTATGTTGAAAGGAAGAATTAGTAATACTTTTAATAAGAGAATTGTCAGCTTTTGTGTTTTACCCATCTGACCATTATGCCCAGTGTAAAAAATAATAGTAATAGATTTACACACTAATGTCTGTTTATGGGATAGCATAAATATAAAAAATTGTATTTATAAGAATTAAGGAATACCTCATTATTTTTATGAAGTTATTATTTTTATATGTATATATAAAACATTTATATATAAAGTATGATTATCTTTTCAACAAGATTTTTATGCACCACTTATTTCCATAAAAATTAAAAAAAAAATGAAGCTCCCATTAAGGGAACTGTATACAGTGTGAGAAATAGAAAGTCTGGTGGTGCATTTTCAGAATATAGTATTCAGCCTTAATTGGATCCAATTGTAGCCACTTCAATTATAGCCCTTCCCTTTTGCTCTCCCTAATTTTAAAATAAACCAATAGTGTAGATTGTATCCCAAGTCTTCCAATCAGAATGCAGGTAGTGCTGTCTGAGGTATATGAAAGGGCAGGCTGCCCACCTAGGCGTTTTTGCTAGCCAGGTTCCTTAACTTGCTTCTCTGTCAGAAGTACAGTTTGCCTTGTCCACTTGCTTTTGATTTCTGGTGGCACCTCATTGTTTCTAACACATTGAATTGTTAGCACATTTAATTGTAATGTCAGAAGTTTGAATTCTTTCCTGTAATAGAGTTCAGAACCTCTATGTTAGAATTGTTTCTGTTTTTTAATAGAAAGACTTACATGGTCAGACAAATGTATTTAAACTTTACCTTTCTTGGGTAAACAATTCTTAAAGCATTGTGTTTATTTATTTATTTTTTTTTTTGCAGATTGATCAGACAGCTGATGCAAGTTTTTTGGGCTGGGTTATTGCTTCGTTTAGTATTGGTCAAATGGTAGCTTCACCTATATTTGGTTTATGGTCTAACCATAGACCACGGAAAGAACCTCTTGTCATCTCCATCTTTATTTCAGTGGCAGCCAACTGCCTCTATGCATATGTCCACGTTCCAGCTTCTCATAATAAATACTACATGTTGGCCGCTCGTGGATTGGTGGGATTTGGAGCAGGTAATATGTTTGTATGTATATGTCTGATTGTGTCAACTTCACATTCATCCTAATGTTTATGCCCTCTTGCCTGGCTTTATTTCTTCTTAGTCTAGTATCTCACAATTGGGCACACCCATCTTTTCTTACAAAGAGGCAAATATGTTTTCCTATCACTTTGCCTTGCTCATTGTGTTTCATTACCTGTAGGTTTTCTCCTTTGTTCCCATTATTATCCTTCAAGATGCAGATTTAATTTCTACATCTTACATGAAGCCCTCCCACACCACTCTACCCCTCGATCTTCCTTTTCTCTGATCTCTCTCTGGCACTTTCTTATAGTCTTGCATGGTTTTATCCTTTCTTGCTAGTCAGATGATAAGCTCTTTGCAATTAGAGATAGTTATGACACTTTTTAATTTTCTCTGGCTCCTAGCAGAGTCTCTTGAACATAGTAAGTGCTCAGAAAAACTTTTTTGGGTTTTGAGAATTGTATCCAGGGTTTCTCTATCACTGAGCTATATCCCCAGTCACTCTTATATTTTGTATTTTGAGACAGGGTCTTGGTAAGTTGCCCAGGCTGGCCTGGATCTTGGTGATAMTCCTGTATTAATCTCCTAAGCATCTGGGATTACAGGCATGCCCTACCACACCTGGCTCAATAAAACTCTTGAAGTAAATTGTTATTGGATTTTTTCCCGTTTCATATATTTCAGGTCTATGCATGCAGAGTTTGTGACATCTTTCCTTTAAAAATAGTTGTAAGCCTGGTGGTGCATGCCTATAGTTCCAGCTACTTGGGAGGCTAAGGTAAGAGGTCAAGGGCAGTCTGAACAACTGAGCAACATTCTGTCTCAAAATAGATGCAAATAAAAAATGGTAGTATGCCATTCACTCAGAGTTTTCTGAGTGCTTAATGGAGAAAGTTTGATATTTTTATAATGCCATTTTCCTATCTATTCAAAACTGTGTTTTAATATTACTAAAAATTCTGTTTTCCATTAATTCATGCATTTGTTCAATAAACATTTCTTAAATGCTTTGTATGATCATAAAGAGGAAGCAGTGACTATAATGTTGACCAACATTTCTTTTTTTTGCATAGAGCCAAATTAAGTGCCATGTTATAAATTGAAGGATATTCTCTCTTATTGTGGATTATTGTGTCTTTTCTTAGGAAATGTTGCAGTGGTTAGATCATATATTGCTGGTGCTACTTCCCTTCAGGAAAGGACAAGTTCTATGGCCAATACAAGCACGTGTCAAGCATTAGGATTTATTCTAGGTCCAGGTAAGTGCTCTTCACTTGTCATGATTTGAATTTGAATTGGGGAAACCTTTGTGTTTTAAACATACATATAATCCAGTATAAAACCTCCTAGCTGATGGGCAAAATGAGGGAAACTAAATTTTTATTTGTATTTAATTTTTTGCAGTGCTGGGCATTGAACCAAAGGGTTTTTGTGTGCTAGGCAAGTGATCTGGCAGTGAGGCAAGGCTCATTTTACCTTGACACCAGTTCTCTCAAGTTAAATGCTATTTGTCCCACTTTACAAATGAGGATGCTAAAAGCAGAGAGAGCCTAAGAAAATTGGTTACCCAGATAGTAAATGGGAAATTCAGGTTCGGATCTCACTCTGACTCTTGTCAACTAATCAGTTTGATCTGACATCTTTGCAAGAGTTTATTTTTCCATTTATTGGAAACAATTCTTTTTACTAAAGTATTTGAGGAAAGTTATAAGATTCTTTACCCTTTAACCCTTTGCCCATAGCTTTAAGATTTTTCTACGGCTGAAGAAAATGAAAATGTGTTTCGTTTTGTGGATTTTTGGGGGGTAGGGTGGGGCATTGGGATTGAACTCAGGTTGCTTAACCACTGAGCCACATCCACAGCCCTTTTTATTTTTTATTTTGAGACAGGGTCTGGAAAAATTGATTAGGGCCTTGCTAAGTTGCTGAGCCTGGCCTTGAACTTGTGATCCTCCTGCCTCAACCTCCGGAGTTGTTGGGATTATAGGTGTGCACTCTCATGCCCGGTTGAAAGTGTTTACTATTTCTTCCAAAGCCTCTATCCTTTTGCTAAGTATAAAAAAAAAAATTAATATGATTTTAATAATTCCCCAAGGCAAATTCATTTGGCTGAGTAGAGAAATTAGTCATTTTTTTTCCAGTGTGTTTGAAATCAACTTTATTCAGAAATAATGTACATAGAATGTACATAGAATGTACATAGAATAAAATGTACCCAATATACTTTGATATTTTGACAAATATATGAATTATGTCGTTTCAACCAAAATTTAAAGCATTGATTATCTCAGAAGTTTACTCGTTATACAATTTTATTTTCAACTATTCCACTTTCCCTGTCATTATAATTTATTTTCTCCCATTCTAGAATTTCATATACTTGGAAATATGTGGTACGATTCTTTATTTGGGACTGGATTCTTTTGTTATTATGCTGTTCTGGTTGTTGATTATTTCATCCTTATTATTTTGTATTTTTCATGTTAAATATCTATGATTTCTTTAAAATGTGTTTCCCTGTATGTAATATGTCTTTGTTTCTGTGGCTGATTTTTGTTGTTGTTTTGGTACCTTTTCTTTATTGCTGCTTTTCAGAAATTTCATATGATATGCTTTTTAAAATTTTTTTTGTTTGTTTATTGGGACTTTTAAAAAATTTCTTACATACATGACAATGGTGGAATGCATTTCATTCATAATTATCCATTCACAGCACAGTTCTTCATAACTCTGTATATAAAGTATGTTCATGCCAAATTATGCCATTATATATGAGCTCTTTTTTTTTGTATTACAATTCTTAATATATCTTTATACCAAAATTTATCATATCTCTGTTTGTATATAAGGTATGTTGACACCAAATTCACATCTTCATGCATGTATTTTGTATAATGATTACTGTCATTTTTTTTTTCTTTTTTTTATTTATTTATTTATTTTCTTTTTGATTACTGTCATTTTTAATGTCCAGAAAATATTGAAAATCCAGATACTTGGTCTATGCTTTGGCTGTTGATTACATTTATGACTATTATCAGTTTTGATCTATCTCAGTTTACTTCATCATTAGCACCTCACCCCCACCACCAGTTCCCATTACTTCCTTTTCTTGAGCCAAAAAAGACTCAACAGAATAGGGTCTAATTCATAGGTTTATCCGAATCCTAATATTTTGGTTTAATATTCTGGAACAAATATAAGCACAAATGTAGATGGGTTGAACGTTAAGGCTATACTGTAAAATACACGAGGACATAGCCTGGGTCTTCTTATTTTTCACTCTGCCTCCTCATTATTAGCATAATACCTTGTGTAGATAGAATATTGTTGACCACCTTCAAAGTTTTGAAAGATTATCTCATTTAAACAGTTTGTGTTATAGATAAGTAAATGGAAGCCTGAAGAGATTTGATGGCTTCTTCAGTAGTAAGCACTCAACAAGTGGTGCCTTTACTGAATGCTTGCTATGGGCTGGGCACTGTTCTTTAGGTACAGCATCTCACTTCCTTCTCACCCTAAGGTTATATGCTAGTGATTAACAGAGCCTCATATAGAATTCAGACAGGAAAGCAAACCACAGTACTGTTGATGTCCAGTTTTGCCACGGATCAAATTTTAAATTATATCAAATATATATAATTTGGGTATATAAATAGTGATATTTAAAATATTTGACCTAAAATATGATGTTTTCTTTGTTATAATGAAACTGATTAAACTTTTATAATTTATTTATTGAAGAAACTGTATAACTTAAATTTCCAATTGGAATTTTTTTTGAGAAAAGAAGATCCTGGGGCTGGGGTGTGGCTCCATGGTAGAACATGTGCTCTGCATCCTTGAAGTGCTGGGGTTCATGCCTAGCACTCCTCCCCACTCCTCCACCCTATACCTCCAAAAACAAAAAGCAAAAAAAGGAGATATTGACAGGTGACTTAGATATAGTCCTTTGTGGATGCACATACGTCAGTTTCTCTCACTCTTTTATTATTGTCTCCTTAAGGAGTCTTTTCAGACTTTTTTTTTCCGAGTTACTACTCCACCCCYATGAAATTTCAATGCCACATCTCTTCATCTATTTTTATGTGCTTTGCAATAGAAGAAGGGAATTGTTGTTGCCACCCCCCAATCAAGAACCAATTTTCTTGCTGCTGTGGGGAATGCGTGATGTAGATAGATGATTCCTTAATGTGACTTCCATTCTGAGACAAATTTCTTGCTTTTCTTTAAGCCTGTGCCTCCCATATAATAATTCATTTGTGTACATTTTATTTGAATAAGTTTTTCAGACTTGTTTTGCTCTAATTGGAGAAAAGGGCGTGACATGGGATATGATTAAGCTACAGATAGACATGTATACAGCACCAGCTTTACTTAATGCCTTCGTTGGAGTTTTAAACATTATTCTGATCATCACTATGTTAAGGTAATTAGAGATGATGATATAAATTTTCATAGATATAAATTTTAATAAGATTTGTCATTATTGGTAGAAAATTATCCCTATGTAGTCTTTGTTTTTGATATTTATTATAGTTGTGTTCACATTCTTTGATCAGTTAAAGTATGTAGTGATAGCAACTATAATAGTAGACAACTTGATAAGTGAGCACAGATTATGAAGATCTTTGAATATTCAAGATTTGATCTTTTTAAAAATTTAATCTTATTTGTTTTCAAGATTTGGTCCTATTGACTACGTGTTTCTAAGTAARGGTATGTTACGGAAGCAGCATTTTAAGTAGATGAATGGATAAGTGTCTTAAATTTATAAGTTGCTTGGAATGTATGTCTCTTATATTAGAGATAATTTTCTAAAATTACAGATGTTTAGTTAACTTTGTTTCTTTAGAATGCTTTATCCAATTGTCCGAAAGCATTTGTAACTAATGTTTCAGATAACTGAAAATTTAAAATACTGASTAAAGTAGATCACATATGCTTTTGGATGCATTGGGTATTTTTTTTCATTTTATGGTTAATATGATATGAATTATAACTTCTTTCTTTTTAAGTTTATTGGTTGTATTCATCAGTAGTAATTTCATTACTCAGAAGTCATTAAGGAAACTATGTCAGAATGTAAAAAAATAGAATTAAATCTGAACTGTTTCTGTATTATATTAATCATTTTCAAAATACAGTATTTACATTTTTCTTTTTAAGAGAACATCGAGTGGATGACTCAGGACGACAGTGTAAAAATATTAATTTTGAAGAAGGTACTATTCACCTATTTGAGTAAATTACTTTGGCATTATCAAAGTGTTTCTAATGATTGTTTGTTGTTTGCTTGGATTATTCTTCTGAGGACAGTATAATGGGTGTTTGGGAAAAAGCTTCAAAACTGAAAGGTACCTAAATTGATTTTTTTAAAAATAAATTTTCCTATATCAATTATTTGACTCTCTCATGTTGGCAGAGTTAAAACCATTGCCAAGCCAGGCACCATGGCGCACGCCTGTAATCTCAGTGGCTGGGGAGGCTGAGGCAGGAGGATCGAGAGTTCAAAGCCAGCCTCAGTAATAGTGAGATGCTAAGCAACTCAATAAGACTCTATCTCTAAATAAAATACAAAATAAAGTTGGGGATGTGGCTCAGTGGTTGAGTGCCCCTGAGTTTAATCCCCAGTTCCCCCACCTCCAAAAAAAAATTGGTAAGAATTATTTCGTGTTATTTTCGAACAATCAGTTTTCTAAAACTGTGCCTTTCTGTTTCAAGTAATTCTTTATTGCCTTATGGTTTCTCTTTATTGCCATATGGTTTCTCTTTTTTTTTCATTCTTTTATTATACTTTGTAAATGTACATTTTTCATCCTTTAGATCTTTCTTTGCCTCTTAAATAATGTCCAATCTAGGAAGTGGATATATTTTACCAAACACACCATTATTTAAGTGCTAACTGTCCTTTTGGGGATTGTCTTTCCATGTTAAACTGTAGCCTGGTCCCTACCCTCAGTGAATTTTCAAAGCTATGGAAAAGACCTGGTGTTAATTTGCCAAGCACTTTCATATAAAATTGTTTTTAAATTTTAGAACATGTTTAGATAAAATGTTCATAATCAATTTTAAAATATTCTAGTTTATAGAGGTTTATCCTGGGATGATAATTTCCACTTACATAGAATTCGAAATCAATATATTAATGTAGTCTTTCCTCAAAATTCTTTTTTTTTCTTGTTTTTTTATTTATTAATGAATTGGGGGTTAAACCCAGGGGTGCTTAACCACTGAGCCACATCCCCAGCTCTTTGTATTTTTTTGAGACAGTGTAAATTCTAGTTTGGCTTGGGGCAGTGCTGATAGTTGATTTGAAGAAGTCAAGACTGCCTTCTAGGTAGTGATTGAAAATCAAGGAGGTCGATCCAAAACAGTACAAGGGATCTGGGGAATATACCTCAGGAGTAGAGTGCTTGTCTAGCATGTGTGAGGACCTGGGTTCCATCCCCAGCACTACCAAAAAAATAATAATCAAAACAGTATTTGGGCCCCAAGGACCTTGAAGAAGATCTAAACAAATGGCTRGGATTGTGGCTCAGTGGTAGAGCACTTGCCTAGCATATGCAAGGCCCTGGGTTCAATCCTGAGCACCACATAAAAATAGATAGATAAAAATAAAGATATTGTGTCCAACTACAACTTAAAGGAAAAAAAAAAGATCTAAACAAAGGTGACCTGTTCTCTTTGCATGGTTCGAAGAAAGGAAGGTCTCAAGCTAGATATCTCAAGTTGCTAATTCCCCCCAAGTCTAGTAGACTATTTCCAGATCTACTTTTTATTGGAGGAGGATATCCTTCTCCAGAATGCTGAGGTAGAAAGGCAGATTCCATCATTAAAAATGACAGAAACTTTACTGTCATAGGAGAGTTGTACCAACCCCTTCCTGCGACTACATGCACACTTAAAAATGATGTACATAAGTGACACATTTTGACATACTCAACATGGCTTATGCTGGGTACATGGATGAATTGCAAAATGGCATAATGGGTTTACATATATGGATGTAAATGGGGCATACATCACAGTGACATTGGGAATAGCTCAAGTTAAGTGTGCAGTTTAACTACAAAGATGAGAACTCATTACACTCACTTTGCCTTCCCACTTTATAAAAAAACCCCATCAAATACTAGTTATTTCTCTGTAAGATATGAGTAACAAGGATTTTTTTTAAATGGCAGTGTTTTAAAATGGCATAAGAATTTTTATTAATACTGATTTCATGTAACATTGAGATTAAAAATACATATCTATTTAAGTGAATTGTAGACTGGGGACTGATTTAGTAAAACTATTTTCTTTAATTAATTAWTTAWTTATTTATTTATTTTTTAGAGGGAGAGAGAGAGAGAATTTTTTATTATTTTATTTTTTAGTTATCAGCAGACACAACATCTTTGTTTGTATGTGGTGCTGAGGATCGAACCCGGGCCGCACGCATGCCAGGCGAGCGTGCTACCACTTGACCCACATCCCCAGCCCGTAAAACTATTTTAATTCTTCATGAAATCATTTTAAATTTCAGAGTTATTAAAATAGAAAAAATTAGCAATTGAAATTTAAAGCAAATTTAAATAAATACATTCTTACAGAATTCTATATCATTTTATTACCAAATTCTGTAAAATACATACATTTTGATTAGAGATACCAAACAGAATGTTCCCTAAAGATATAAAATTGAAGTATATTGCCAGAGGTTCGAGGCAGAAGTGCCTACCTCACGTGTGTGGGGCCCTAGTTTGTTTGATCAGCAACACACAAAAAAATTTGAAATATTTCTCCTGTTGGGGGTTCACTTTTTTTTTTTTTTAAGTTGTCAGTGGACCTATATTTTTATTTATTGGTATGTGGTGCTGAGACTCTATCCGAGTGCCTCACATGCTAGGCAAGGGCTCTACCACCAAGCCACAACCCCAGCTCTCACTTTACTTTTGTGTAGTACCATTTAAAAATTATTTTTAAGTATGATTTAACCATTATTCCTGGACAGGTACAGTGATGTACACCTGTAATCCCAGGACCTGTAGAAACTGAGGCAGGAGAGTTGTAAATTTAAGGCCAGCCTTGGTGAAGTAGTGAGAGCCTGCCTCGGAATGAAACAAAAAGGACTGGGGATGTAGCTTAGTGAGTGTTATGGTGCCCAGTACTGTAGGAAAAAATATTTGTGTCATAGAAATCCTGTTACTTTTAAACTGCTTTGAAGCCTAAAAATGATGTTTATTTATAGAATTAACTATATGTAACACATTATTTTAGTATCTTAAGAAAAATTTAGATATATAGGTAATCTAATTTTTTTTCTTATTTACCTATAGCAAGAATAGATGAAGTTCAGGATTCCCAAGGAAATATTGATCAAGTTGCTGTTGTGGCTACCAATGTTCTGTTTTTTGTGATTTTATTTATATTTGCCCTTTTTGAAACGTAAGTTTTATTCTGTCTTCATCTAAATCAGATTATTTATTAATTTGTATTTCTTAATGCAGTGTTAATTAAACATACTGATATTATAAAATATGTAATGTAGGGCATATTTTTTTATGATGTAAAAAGTATATATTAATTTTGTATCATGATTTAATTAACTTTAAGCTATATAGCTCCATATTTATGTATGCAGCGTTCAGTGTGGCAACTTTAGATGTATTTAATCCTTGATTATGAAAAAAGAAAAATTAGTATAAAATCTCCTGTAGGCTTCATTGACTTTAATTATCATATGGACCTTTCATTTTAAAAATACTGTTCTATTAGACATATTTAAAAATACTGTTCTATTAGTACATTCTTGCTGGGCGCCGTGGCACATGCCTGTAATCCTAGCGGCTCTGGAGGCTGAGACAGGAGGATTACAAGTCCAGCCTCAGCAGTTTTTAGCATTGTAGCATATATTAGAATTTCTTTAACTTTTTAAAGCTGAATAATATTCGATTGTAGGTATTGTTACATTTTATTTATCTATTCATCTGCTGACACTTTGATTGTTTTACTTTTTGTATTACAAATAATGTTGCTATGAACATTGACGTATGAATATTTGTTTGACTCTTGGCTTTCAGTTCTTTAGGGTATAGTAGAGATTGAACTCAGGGGCGTGCTGTACCACTGAGCTACATCCCCACTCCACACACACTGTTTTTCTTTTTTGGAGATAGTGTCTTGCTAAATTGCTAGGCTGGCCTCAAATGTGTGATCCTCTGGCCTCAGCTTCTTGAGTTGCTGGTCTTACAGGCCAGTGCCATCACACCAGGCTTTCATGCTTAATTTTTTGGGAAACTACCAATCTGTTTTCTTTATCAACTCACATGATTTTAAAGCTTAAAATACACTTGTTCTTTTTAAAAACATATTTTAAATATAAATGCCATTTTGTAGTCAGTTAACAGGAGGAGGGAAAATGTGGGAAAAGAAGCTTGGGCAAGGAAGGAGACAATCATTTAAAGGAAGAGAGAAATTCAGAGGTAGGGAGAAATCTACATACTTTTAAAGGTAGGGATAAAAGAGACTGAGGAAGAGAAAAATAATCCAAAGGATTCTAATACTTATTAGCAATGTTTCACTGGAAATAAAATAATTTATTTTTTTAGCAGTATAGTGTATTTTATAAAGATAATTAAGATAATAGGCATTATTTTATAAACAAATAAGAACAGTTCTGGACAGCTTGCAGCATATACAAATGACAACTTTAAAAATTTACTTTTGCAGAGGTTCTTTAAGGAGGAACACTGGTCACCACATAGAAAGAACACCCCCAAGGGAGACCAGTCACTTGCAGGCCCGCCCTCCCAGACTCAAAGCTTCACTGAGAAGAGAGATCTGTTTAAACCAAAGAGTAATCATGATGATTTAGTTATATTTGAATGATATGAGTTATGATTGGTTTGGTTTAATTCCTTTTCCTGTTTTTTAGACTTTTTGCAGTACAGCTACAGCTATATTACTTATATAATTAAAGTAAATATTAATAAATAGGGAAGCTTAGGTATGTACAACAAAATATGCTTAAGATGTGTTTATTCAATCTTGCTTATAACATAAGTAGGCCATTGTCATTGTTAAAAGGGATGCAAATACTTGAAGGTATCATTAAAACTTATACTTCATTTTAACAATTACTGTGATTTAAATAAAATAACAATGGTTTATTTTTTATTTTTCTTAGAATCCTTGCTCCATTGACAATGGACATGTATGCTTGGACTCAAGAACAAGCTGTATTGTATAATGGAATAATACTTGCTGCTCTTGGAGTTGAGGCAGTTGTTATTTTCATGGGGGTTAAATTACTTTCCAAAAAGTAAGTTTTGTCTGGTTTTGTTTCAAATCTAGTTTTTAAAAATCAAAACATGAAACATGGCTGGGGTTGTGTCTCAACGGTAGAGCGCTCACCTGGCATGTGCGAGGCCCTGGGTTCGATCCACAGCACCACATAAATAAAGATATTGTGTCCAACTAAAAAAAGAAAAAACATGAAACACAGCTAGCTAATAACAATGTCAGTAAATATGCTATAAAATAATTTAAAGTTTTTCTCTCATTTATGTATTAGTTTTAGTTTTGGAAATTTTCAAACAGATTTAAATTAGATTGTTAAGGGCTGGGGATGTGGCTCAAGTGGTAGCACGCTCGCCTGGCATGCGTGCGGCCCGGGTTCTATCCTCAGCACCACATACCAACAAGAATGTTGTGTCTGCCGAGAACTAGAAAATAAATATTGAAGAATTCTCTCTCTCTCTCTCTCCTCTCAAAAAAAAAAAAAAAAGTGAAATACTTAAAAAAAATAAATTAGATTGTTAAGCATGATATTTCTGTATTCTGGCTTTTCTTTAATACTGTTTTTATATTTTTTATACTTTATTTGCTGAGGATCGAACCCAGGGCCTCGAACGTGCTAGGCAATCGCTCTATCATTGATCCACAACCACAGCCCCTCTGGCCTATTTTTGGTGAAGCAAAATATTTTACCAAGCAAATAATTGTCTACTAATGTAGCTTTTGTGTGTTATGAAATAGTTTAAAAAGTATTTCTAAAAGTTTTATGTGTTTCATAAGACATTGTCCTGCCATATGTAATATGTTATATAACAGAAAAGATTTCGTGGTTAAATTTGGTTAAGATTAATGAACTAATTGATTTTAGAACATTTMAGTCTTTAGTATGTAAAGTATGTAAAGATCATATAATATGGCAAATATAGTTTGTAGCATTTCTCAAAACTACTGTTTTTAAAAGAATTTCTTTATGAAAGTGTAACTGTAAGGAGAACACTTTGGAGGAAGTTCAGTCACCAACTCTAATGCAGGAAGTTAACTGACCAAATCAGTTCTAATGCTTGTTAAAATCAATCAACAGATATTGAATTGGTATGTAGGGTCAGACTGCAGTGGAGGGTGCTATGGAGACAGAAATCTTGCTGCAAAAATAGAGCAGTGCTGTGTATATGAAATGTCCAGTTCTGTACCTTCAAAGAACTTGTGTTGGGGGCAGTAAACATGATGTGAAGGCAAGTCTTGGTGAGCACTGTGAAGAGTCTGGGAGTGGTCCAGGAACCATGGCCGAGGAAGTCATATTCAGAAAGACTTCAGGGGCTGTGGTTGTGGCTCGGTGCTAGAGCACTTGTCTAGCATGTGTGAGAGGCACTAGGTTTGATTCTAGGCACCACATAAAAATAAACAAAATAAAGGTATTAGTGAAGTTGGAGATCAGCCATATACTCAGTCTTCTCTTTTCTGCGAAGACTGAGTTTTTGGGTTTTTAAAAAACAAGCAAAAAGGCCAGTTTGACCAAAGTAGAACTAGAGAAATGCCAAATGGTACAGAAGGTTTGAAAGCTGAGGAGCCTACTGGTCCTCTTAGGGTGATAGGATGCCTTCGGTTTTCAATTTTTTTTAATGTTGTTAGTTTTGTTTGCTTTTGAAAGCTTCTGGTTTTGTTTATATATTTTACTCTTAATATGCAAAACTTCCATATACAGGGGTCTAGAGAGCGTTATGTTCTGCACCTCTAGTGTCCATTATCTAGCTCCAACAATTACATACCCTGGGACAGTCCTGTGTCATCTTTGTCTTCACCTACTACTCCACACTTTCTTTCCCCTGCATCTGGATTATTTTGAACCTGAAACCAAACATCATTTCATACTTTCCATAAATATTTCATTAACTGAAAGTTTAACATTGACACCATCATCACATCTAAAAAGTGAACAGTAATTTCTGAAAATTGTCACATATCTAGGGCTGGGGATGTGGCTCAAGCGGTAGCGCGCTCGCCTGGCATGTGTGCGGCCCGGGTTCGATCCTCAGCACCACATACCAACAAAGATGTTGTGTCCACCGAGAACTAAAAAATAAAAAATATTAAAAATTCTCTCTCTCTCTCTCTCCTCTCTCACTCTCTCTTTAAAAAAAAAAAAAAGAAAATTGTCACATATCTAGACAGAGTTTGTGTTTTCTTGACTATCTCACATGAATTTAGTTTGTTCCTCACTTTGCTTTCTTGATTCAATCTCTTTCATTGATTGGTTTCTTCCCTCCCTTTGTCTTTCTCTTCTTCCTCCCTTACAAATTGAGGCCAGGATGTTTATGTTGTAGTTTCTGCTTTTTGGATCTTGCTAGTGTTTAAAATATCCCTTTGTTTACTATATTTTGGAAACTGATCTGTACTTAGATCTAGAAGTTTAAAGAGATTTGGGTTCCAGTTTTTGGCAAGAAAATAAGTGGTGTGATATTCTTACCTGAGAAAAAATATAACGTGTCTTTTTTCTCTCCTTATGATGTAAGTCACGATCGATCATTCCCTGAATCCATCCAAGGGTCCTTGTTAAGTGCTGACAGTTTGCCCTCCAGATCTGAGGCTTAACCAAAAGACTTAACCAAACTCAGATAAAAATATTTKGGGAAAAAATTGCATCTGCACTGAACCTGGAGTTTTTTTCTCAACATCAGTTCCTAAATAATATAGTATAAAAGTATATACATTTATATTTTGAGGTATTATACGTACTATAGAGATGACTTAAAATACAGAGGAGAATATTTGTAGGTTATTACCCTTTACTGTGACATTTTACATGAGGTACTTGAGTGTCCTTGGATTTTGGTAACCTCAAGGGGCTCTTGAAACCAACCCCTTGCAGATACTGTTAATTCCATAAAACATTTATTTACTAGGATACATTCTACTAAAAAAACCTTCCCTTCACCAACCCTTTGATTATTGTGAGGTACAGTACAGTTTGCATAAGAAAGGATACATGTTTGATTTTTTCCTTTAATTAACTGTTATTTAAAATGATAAGATGGTTCTGTGGCATCCTCAAAAAGTGACCAGAGAGTGTTCCATCTTAGGATAGTATGAATTTATAGATTATAACACTTTCTTGTATTTCAGTTAATTCCCATTATTATTATTTTTTCTTTTTGGTGTTCATATTGCTAAGTTGTTGGCCAACTTCTTCAAATTGGTTGAGTACTATTTTCATGACCTCATAGTCACTAATAGCTTCTTTGCTTTCCGGTAGGAAAAGATATTCTAGTTTCATCTTCTGGATTTCCTGTCCCAGACCTGAAATTGGCTATTTTTTTTTTTTTATAGAAGTCTTGGTTGCTTTTACTGGGAAATTATGTATTGCATTTACAAGTATCACAAAAGTATCAAAATTTTATAGTTTTTTAATTATACAAGTAATGGAAATTTTGTTACGATGTTTCATTTTAAAATTACAGAATTTCTGTTCTTTGACAGGATTGGTGAGCGAGCTATTCTACTGGGAGGACTCATCGTTGTGTGGGTTGGCTTCTTTATCTTGTTACCTTGGGGAAGTCAGTTCCCCAAAATACAGTGGGAAGGTACATGATTCTATAACATTATCTCCTGGTGTTTAGCTAAAATTAGCAATTCCTACACCATACTAATTTTGTTTTTACAGATTTACATAATAATTCAATCCCTGATACCACATTTGGGGAAATTATGATTGGTTTTTGGAAGTCTGCAAGAGAATATCATAATGAACGGCCAGTTGGTTGCCCAGTTGAGCAAGCCTGGTGCCTCTACACCCCAGTGATCCACCTGGCCCAGTTCTTCACATCAGCTGTGCTGGTTGGAATAGGCTATCCAGCCTGTAATGTTATGTCTTATACATTATATTCAAAAATTCTAGGACCAAAGCCTCAGGTAAGCAGGCTTCCCTGAGATTGCAATTATAAGACATACTTTTGTAGCACATTGGGGGATTTTTACCACATTTATTAGCATTTTAAGTTTTTAAAAGCAAACAACCTTTGTCAAGTATTTATAAGGTTTATTTACTGAAACTTCACAAACAGTATGCTAATGTGATTAGGATGCCAGTGATTATGAGCTCAAAATCATTTTCACTGAAAAAAAATTTGAAGTATAAATTTCTGAAACTCTTAAATTAGGCAACATTAAGGGAACCATAATTAGTAGCCACGTTTAGATCTAGGCTTAATTTCTTCTGATTCCAGAAGCCATTACTAAGAGATGAAACACACAAATATCTTAAAAGTTTACAAAGGCTATGTATATTTTTAGATTATTATATTATTTTGTGGTGCTTGGGATCAAACCTACAGGCTAGACAAGCACTATATCACTGAACTGCATATACCTTCAGCCTTAAACTAACTTTTTTAGGGGGGGGGGTACTGAGGATTGAATTCAAGGGCACTCAACCATTGAGCCACACCCCCAGCCCTATTTTGTACTTTATTTAGAGATAGGGTCTCACTGAGTTGCTTAGTGCCTCACTTTTGCTGAGGCTGGCTTTGAACTTGCCATCCTCCAGCCTCAGCCTCCTGAGCTTCTGGGATTATAGGCATGTGCCATCGTGCCCAGTTCCAAAATTAACTTTTAAGTAAGAATTTCATGGACCAAAGTTATAGCTCAGTGGTAGAACACTTACCTAGCATACATAAGGCCTTGGGTTTGGTACCCAGAGCTGCAAAAATGATAAATAAGAATTTTAATTCTGTAATTCATTATATAAAATTGGAAAAAAATACAGAAGCAAAAAGAAAACTATCAGAGAGGCAGTTACTACTAAGATTTTGATGAAGTTATGCTTCTATGCTTATGTGTGTTCAACACAAAAATGGCATCAAAAATATATAATGTTGTGAATACCCTTCCATGCCATTTGATTTTCTTTTAGTGATTTTTTTTTTTTTTTTTTTTTTTTTTTTTTTTCAGGGATTGAACTCAGAGGCACTTGACCATTGAGCCACATCCCTAGCCCTATTTTGTATTTTATTTAGAGACAGGGTCTTACTAGTTGCTTAGAGCCTCGCTGTTGCTGATATTGGCTTTTAACTTGAGATTCTCCTGCCACAGCCTCCCAAGCCACTGGATTACAGGTGTGCACCACTAAGCCAGTTAGTGAATTATTTTAATGGAAACATTGTACTCCATTTATTCTTTCTTCCTTACTGGGATTGAACCCAGAGGCTTTCTACCTTTTTATTTTATTTTGAGACAGGGCCATGGTAATTTGCTGAGGCTGACCTCAAATTTGGGATCTTTCTATCTGAGCCTCCAGAGTAGCTGCAATTACAGGTGTGCACCACCACATTCAGCTGTGCTATCATTTAGACTATTTTCAGATTTTGCTTCTAACTCTTATTCTATTTTTTTGGTAGTTCTGGAGATTGAACTTGAGGCCTCAAACATGCTAAGTATGTGCTCTACTTTTGAGCAAAAATTGCAGCCCTGACCACAAAATAAAAATATTATCTACCTCCTTTTAAAATTAAGATGATAGCTTTACTCAAATAGGATTCTTTATTGGAATCAGCAAGGAGAAAAATCTATAGATAAAATATTTTGGTAGGTTGGTTTTCTTTTTATTGGTTGTTCAAAACATTACATAGCTCATGACATATCATCTTTTATACATTTGATTCAAGTGGGTTATGAACTCCCATTTTTACCCCAAATACAAGTTGCAGAATCACATCGGTTACACATCCACATTTTTCCATAATGCCATATTAGTGACTTTTGTATTCTGCTACCTTTCCTATCCCCTACTATC